AAAAAAAAAAAAAAAAAGAAAATTCAATTCAGCAAATCTCTGAGGACCTAGATTTTAGGTAGGAATGTTTTTCTTACCATGATGGAAATAAACATATTTAACCTCTCTTTTAGATCCATCATGTTACACAAAATGGAGGACTATATAAAAGACCGTTTAATGAAGCTTTTGAAGAAACACCAATGCTGGTTGCTGTGCTCACATATGTGGGGTATGGCGTACTCACCCTCTTTGGATACCTTCGAGATTTCTTGAGGCATTGGAGAATTGAGAAGTGTCACCATGCAACAGAAAGAGAAGAACAAAAGGTAATTATTAGGGAGTTTTTGATTCTGTAAATGAAAGCCTTTTATAGAAATCTTAGTATTTTTGCACAAAAGTTTTTTCTTGGAAATTTGGGTACACATAAAAATTAAAATATTCCAGATGTAGTTAAATGAAAACATTCTACAAAGAAAGCTGAAAACAAGGTTAAAGATATGAAAGCATTCAACATGTGTTTAATCAAGAAGAACCTAAGGAGGTAGGCAGCAGTATCCCTATTTTATGGATTAGAAATCAAAAAGTCACAAGTTAAATAATATTTCCTAAGATGCCTGGTGTCAGAGCTGCTGTGTGGACAGAGGACTGTGAAGTGAAAAAGCCATGCTCTTTCTATTCGTACCCCTGTGCTGAATCCCAGGTTGTGTTTACAATTTTCTGAAAAGGTTGTATTATTTGGAATTAATAATGTGTTTTCTCATAGATGCATTATACATAGTTGGGTGATTCACACATCAACTCCTCTCCCCAGACAAACAAGCTGTAATACAGAATGTGGCCAACCAATTCTATTTACAGTAAAAAACACTCTTATTTTAGGAATGGTAAACCTATGAGCATGGTTGACTCTGGTGAAAAGGGCTTCATTCACTTCATTTTTCTCTGCATGTTCCTTTGTACCTCTGAAGGGTTTTTTGTTTTTTTAACTTGTTATTGACTTGAAGCTCACTTCTGGAGTTTTATACATTATTGTTGTGTTACTTAATCTCCATAAATAAATAAAATGAGGGTTAACGATGCCTGATTTTACTAAAAATAAAACCTCTGTGTTGTTGGCATGTCCCCCATGGCAAAAGGTTGTCTTTTAGCCCAGGGGAATGTACCAGATTAGAGAAGGACTTAAGACATTATAGTTTTTTTGTGGTCCCTGTGTGTCTGAGGAAAAGAGGCAGGTGTGGGGTGAGCACAGTCACCGCTGAGACGAGCCAGTGAACATTGATTGTAGAAGAAACAGTTATTCAGGTAATGGATAGTGGTCATGTGGAAATGGGAAGAGTGCATCGAGAAAACATTGTCAGTTACTGGGAAGACAAAACCAGTCAGTAGATATATGGATTCAAAAGTGGCTCCTGGGAGAACTCAAGACTAGGCATTCTTCCTTTCATCTCAACCATCTTGTACTCCATCTGAGCCCCAGCACAAGTTGGCCATCCTACTCATTGCCCTGCAAGTTAATTTACAAACAAGGTAAATAAGTTTTTTGAATACCTAATGCAGGCAAAGCCCTGCATTCAGAAATTGGTCCAGTGGCCCTAACTAATTTTTATCTTTTAAAACCCAAACACATTTTTAACATTTTTTATTTTATTTTAATATTGTTATTTTTTAGACAAGAGTCTTGCTCTGTCGCCCAGGCTGGAGTGTAGTGGTGTGATCTCGGCTCACTGCACCCTCTGCCTCCTGGGTCCAAGCAATTCTTATGCCTCAGCCTCCCAAGTAGCGGGAATTACAGGCATGTGCTACCACTCCCCAGATAATTTTTGTATTTTTGGTAGAAACGGGGTTTCACCATGTTGGTCAGGCTGGTCTCGAACTCCTGACCTCAAACGATCCACCCGCCTCGGCCTCCCAAAGTGCTGAGATTACAGATGGGAGCCACTGTTCCCAGCCCACATTTTTAACACTTTTTGATCCCCCTTCTACCCCTGAGCTTGTCCACCCAGAGTGCATCTACAGTACGTTGATTTTGTATAGCCCTCAGTGACAGCTTACCATACCCTTCCTAGGTTGTGCAGTATTACAGTTGCTTGTTCACAGGCCTATATCCTCCTACTAGATTGAGTTGATGGCAGTTACGACCGATGGTAGCTGAAGTTTTATTTATATATTCAAACTAAAAACTCCATCTGCAAGGACCTCTCCTAGTGTAGATGCATAGTCGAAACTTAATAATTGACATGTATAGCTAGCTGGTGGTGAGGCAAGTGCTGATTGTGGTGCAGACAGCACATTCCTGGATGAGGGGATAGGCAAAGGCATGAAGAATGTTTGGGAGAATCTAGAATGCAGATAGAAGAGAAATTGTGTTTTGAAAATCAAAGTAAGAAGTTTGGTAGGCAATGAGGAGTAGTTTTTTGTGTTTTGTTTTTAAATGGAGACAGCTCTCGCCATGTTGCCCAGGCTGGTCTCAAACTCCTGTACTCAAGGGATCCTCCTGCCTTGGCCTCCCGAAGTATTGGGATTACAGGAGTGAGCCACCATGACCCCAAGGGCAATTTTTGATCAGGGGATTGTCCATAGAGCTTGCACAGCTGGTGCTCAAAGTGTGATGAATGAATGAAACCAACAAGATGCATCTGAATTACTTTGTTTGTGAGTACATTATCTTTGGAACTTGTTTCATGTTTACAGAAAGTAAATTGGTGGTTTAAGTGTTGGGAGCTGCCTGTGTATCCTTTGTGTGAAAGAATTAGAATGCACAGATTTCATTCTTAAGTAGTTTCTAATTTTGTTGAGGAAACAAACATTTTAAAGTTATGGGCCTTTGCAAAACCATTATACAAGTAAATAATGCTTAGATTATATGAAGATATAGAACAAAAAAATATCTGAGTAGCATAGGGTTAATCAGGAAACAGTTCTTGGAGGAAGTAATACAAGGAAATGTGGGGGTGCTGAGGAGAGCATTTGCCTCTGCAGGTTATGGAGAGGATTGTATTAAATTATTCAAATTCATTTCAATAGAATATTCCCAGTAGATAACATTAGCAGTTAAAACAGCCAGCTTCTGCCATTTTCTTAAAAAAATTCAGCTCGTAGAGGGAAAGGGAATGTCATTCCTTTCCTGTGACAGATCATGTTTGTTTTCTAATGCTGGATTAGGTATGGGGAAGGAGGGAGGCAAATTAAGTGTTAAACTGGAAAGAGGTGAGGGAAAGTGGTTGCTTGGGATCATAAAATGCAAATATAATGTTGCTACTTCCTCATTTCACCGAGAGAGTGGTATCCATAACCACATCCTGGTTTTCTTCCTCATTTCATTCTAAAAGAGAGCCCAGTTTAACTATATTAATTCTTTGTTGCAGGGAAATACCGTATGTTGCTTTGAATACAACTAAATCACATGGTCATACCAATAAAGATGAGTTACCATGAGTCTGTTCTATTTTATATAAATTGCATACAATTCTTGGAATTTTTTACCCCTTAATCCTCTGTTATTCGTGGTGTTTTGGATGAGAATGTTGTTTTTCTCAGTCTATGGTTTATTTCTTTGTGATGTGAGGTGAAGCTAGTAGTTCAGAAACATGTACGTGACAGATAACAGCAAAAGCTTGAATTAATAAAAATGTTCCAGGCTGAGGTAGGAGGATCACTCAGGGCCAGGAGTTTGAGACCAGCTGACACAACATAATGAAACATCTCTACAAAATGAAAAAACTTAATTCAGAAAAAAAATTCTAATATTTAGATAGGAAATTGCTAGGAATGTAAGGAGTAAATTATAGTAAGTAGTTACCACACACTTACTACATTTTAAACTAACATTTTGCCTCCACAGCTTGTTCATGATCAGATACTTAAAAATGGGAGGACCAAATACCATGCTCTCACTTATTTTTTTATATTTATATATATGTATGTATATATTATATATGTATATATGTTATATATGTGTGTATATATTTTTTTTATATATATATATTTTTTTTAAGATGGAATCTCACTCTGTCACCCACGCTGGAGTACAGTGGTGTGATCTCGGCTCCCTGCAGTCTCCGCCTCCACGATTCGAGGGATTCTCTTGCCTCAGCCTCCCAAGTAGCTGGAATTACAGGCATGCACCATCACACCCAGCTAATTTTTTGTATTTTTAGTAGAGACGAGGTTTCACCATGTTGGCCAGCCTGGTCTCAAACTCCTGACCTCAGCCT